AAACCTTTAAACCCTAAACACTAAACCGTAAATCTGAAACCCTAAACCATAAATCTAAACCCTAAACCCTAAACCCTAAACCTGAACTCATAAACCCTAAACCTTTCAACACTAGACCTTTAGACCCTGAGGCCTCAAACCCTAAGCCAAGGCTTTGTGTTCCGTTCGCCCATGGCCTGAAGCCTTTAGGGTTTAGGGTTTAGGGTTTAGGAGCCCACAATAAGCTCGTCGGCAAAGTTTTCTAAAAGGACCAGGGGACTTAGAAGCCCCGAGGCCCTAAAACCCTAAACCCTAAATCCGAAGCCCTAAAACCCTAAACCCTAAACCCCGAAGCCCTAAAACCCTAAATCCTAAACCCTAAACCCGACGCCCTAAAACCCTACCTCAGTACCATTTAGGGTTTAATATGAGGGGCCTTAATAATTAGAATAGGGCTTTGGGCGGGGCCCATTATACTATAATTGTAATCAGGAGCCCCCAAGATTTTTGTTCGTAATTATCAAGGCCCCTATATCAGGGTTTAGGGCTTTGGGAACCCATCCCTGCGCCCGACAGCCACAGCAGCAAGAAAACGGCCCTCCCCATGATCCCACAACCCGAACACAAACCCCGAACCCTAAAAGCCTGGGGCTAAAACCCTAAGCCCTAGACCCTTAGGGTTTTTGAACCCTTGAACCTTTTAAAAGCCCAGACCGCACCAACAAAAACAACACCAGCAGACCGCCAGGAAAACTCCGTAGAGCATCGACACACCTCCGGTAAAGACGCGACAGGACCCAGGTACTTCCCCCATGTCCTGGCGGATTCAAAGTTTTCCAGGCCATGACGAAGCCAAAGTAATGTAGCTGCCTCAATAATTAGAATAGGGTTCTTGGGGGTTCCTGATTATAACTATAGTAGAATATACTCCCAAACTCTATTCTAATTTCGAAGGCCCCATTTTTACCAGAATTTACAACGAAGGGTGCTTTCCCGAGGACGGACCTGAGCACAACGATGCCACAGCGGGATCGCGAAATCTTCACATTGACCTTTAACGGTTTAGGGTTTTTGTTCACACCTTTTAGGGCTTAGGGTAAGCACTGCATCGTGTGTACCACACTGAGTGAGGAATAAGATACGGCTAAGGCCCGACAATCAGAGTAGTTTGGAGTCACTGCCTGGGAGAGAGCCTATGAAAAGACGAGCTTGTAAACAACACAAACTAAAACCCTAAACCCTAAACCCTAAACCCTAAACCCTAAACCCCAAGGCAGGCCGGCACTGCTGCCAGATGCATCGTCGAGGTGCCATCGAAGGTGGTCTGAACCTAAGGGCCCCAAGAATGGTTTAGGGTTTAGGGTTTAGGGTTTAGGGCCCCAAGAAGGGTTAGGGTAAGGGCTGAATACCAGTAGGGATCCAATGAGGCTTCTTTGGAAGCAGGCTTTATCGGATGTTGTACGAGTTTAGGATTAGGGTTTGGGGCTTAGGGTGGCTCTATATGGTTTTAAAACCTAAATGGCCAAGGAGACTTGGATTCAGGGCTTTGGGTTGACATTCGGGCCGGAGCCTTAAACCCAAACCCTTACATCCCAAACAGGCAAGCCACAAGGTTTCACGCTTGGGAGTTAGCGTTCAGGGTTTCGGGCTTGAGGCGCGGCGCCTTCCCGAAAGCAAAGCCTGGGCCTAAGATCCTAATGTAGGGTACTTATAATAAGGAACCCTAACAGGAATATTGGTAATTATTTAGGCTTCTATATTAAAGCCTCAGACTCCAGGGTGTGGCAGACTCGATTGGCAAAGTCTCGCAGCAAACCGATAAGCAGCCTCTAGAGGCCCAGAAAACTTAGTAGGCAGGTTAGAAGTAGAGTGTAAACTTTCAAGTTTAGGGCTTAGGGTTTAGGGTTTACGCACTCAAATCTAGTTGAGGGTTGTCGAAACGGAACAGTTGGACTCCGAAGAATGTCCCTAAACCCTAAACCCTGGACCCTAAACCCTAAACCCTAGACCCTAAACCCTAAACCCTAAACAGCTACTAAAACCTGAGGCTGAACTCTTCCTTTGGAAGAGGAGGCTGCGTAGCTCTGGGACTGCATCTGAGGCTCAGGGCTCAGGGGCTTTATGTCGGGGAACCCCGGTTTAGGGTTTAGGTTTTAGGATCTAGGGTTTAGGGTATAGGATTTAGGATTTAGGGTTTATGGTTCAGAGTTCAGGGTTCAGGGTTCAGAGTTCAGGGTTCAGGGTTCAGGGTTTAGGGTTCAGGGTTCAGGGTTTAGGGTTTAGGGTTTAGGGTTCAGGGCTGAGGGTGCAAGTAGAATTAGGTCCTGCGGTACATTATTCGATACCTTTACGAGGATCTGATTTACTTCATTATTCCGACCCCTACAGTTTAACGGGATAGGATTTCGTGCTCAGGGTGTAGTAGTACTTACGTAGGTATGGTAGATACCTGGAGGGTTAGGGTTAGAGCTTAGGGATTTAAGGGTTCCCTGCACTATCGCGAAGGATTTGCGGCATCTCTTGAGGCTACCGCCAAGTTCGCCTTGGCGTTGGATAGCATCGACACCTGGCTCAGTCAATGCTCCTGTTTGGGACCCGTTTTGGGGTGTTTCGGGTGTAGGGCTTTAGGGTTTTAGNNGTTCCTTTAAGGGTTCCTTTCAGGGTCTCTTTCAGGGTCCTAGAGTCCTAGAGGTTCAGATAAGGGCCTCTCGTTTTTCCGTTGCATTGGCAGCAGCAGGTCGGGTGGTTCTGAACTCTCAGCGGTCGCAGCAGGAATGGTGGTAATATAGGAGCCGTAATAGCTAGAACAAGCTTTTGATATCATAAGGAACCACCAAAATCATGTAGCTAATTATTTAGGCCCCTATA